CCCATAAAAATTTATGAAATTAATGAAAAAACAACACCCGGCTAAGCTGCTTCGCTTCTTCTTCTTCTTGTTTACTACTGGTGGTTGGCTTTGGTCGCAGTACCGCCACCTTCTGTTCTGGAGTGTAAACACTTCGCCTATGAGAAAAAGGAGCAGCGCATGAACCAAACGCAACACACGCGAATCGAACAGAGACAGTCGAACCGAACGGTTCGGACGGTTTTCAAAAACCGTTCCATCCCTAATATATATATATATATATATATATATATATATATATAAATAAATATAAGATGCATTAACCACTAAAATGAGTCCAGATTAAAGATTTTCATTAAAAACAATCCGAATTGCTTCCACTGTATTCCATGTCATCCAATCAGACACCATGACCTGACAATGAGTGAAAAGACAAAGGAAACTAAAAAACTGATTTGTGCACACGCGGTACTGCGACTGCACAACTACGGGCACCGCAGGCAATGGATGGCAGTTGGCCAGCCTCAATCATTACTCAAACAGGTTAATCATCTCGTTATCGCAAGAAATCAATAACTGATTTCTCTTGATAACGAGATAATTATGTTTTTATCTCAAGAAAACAATTAGTGGTTTAACCGTGATAACGAGATAGTTTTATTGTTTTAAAAAAAAAGTCGGGGACAAAAAAGTCAGGTACAATCGCTCTCGGCTTCTATACTGATGGTCAAAAGTGGTGCAAAAATAATTAAGAATATGTTTCAGCAATGAGAAAAGAAATCATATTTTTTTAGCATTTGACAATCTACTAATGTTGTATGTGCTTTTGCTCAATATTTTTTATCAAACTAAGTTTTCTTCATTTATTGTTTTTTTTTTTGTGGCACTGTTTGCCCTCCGTAGAATTATGCGGATTACTAAAAAACATGTTAAAACTCAGTACTAAAATAATCCAATCAGATTTATATCTATAATTCTAGGGCAGCAGAAAGGATTAATTCATTGAAGTTGTAAAGTTTGTCCTCTTTTGGAGCAAACACATAAACTAACCTCTACTAACGTTTCCAAACGGGTATTTGCGTCCAATTACTTGCAGATTTCCTTTACTTTTCTTTTAAAACACGACATCTAAATAGCAGGAGCAGAGTTTATATCCGCATCAGATGATGCAAATGTAAATCGTTAGCATCCCAGGAAAAGGGATACTGCTGGAATTTTGCAGCAAACATACCGATGATCAGGAAGTAGCAGATCTGCGCTCTGTAAAACCTACAGGTCACCACAGTCAGGAATAAACACACCACATGAAACAGCAGGAGTCCGATTAGCCATGGCTCCGACCACTGTACCTATAAACACATCAAATGTTCACTGTCGTAAATCGTTTTCAGTCTGTCGCTGACAGCTAACACACTAAAGTAGCTGTTATGACATTTTGGGAAACAAATATAAAACTTACAGACATAACAAACGTCCATATCGACGTTATTCTTAAATTACTGAATCCATCGATTGGTATGGAGCTAATATTCTCTGTTGTTTGGTCCGTCATCCTCTAAAAAAAGCACAGAGCTAACCGTAGCTTAGCTTGTCGGAAATGTGAACGACGGCGGTTGACGTCAGAGAGAGGCAGCCAATCACATGCCTTCATGGTGTAAACTAAATAACTCTTTCAAACTGTATTTATTTATCAATTGATATGTGAAGCTTTAGTACACAAAAATAAAAGAGACTTATGACGTACTCAACTTTATTACATATTTACAAACATATTCAGTGAGGGGGAAAAAAAGTTTAACCAAAACCAGAAGTACGGTATATAATTAAAACTCAGTTTTCATTTCCAATCATGGAATAAAGTTTAGATTACAGATAAATGACATGTATTATCAAAATATTGTACTAGTACTCAAAAACCTAATTTGAGTCTCCAAATCTATTTAACCGATAAAAAAAGCAAACACTAACAAGGTCTTTAAAATGTACTATAAAAAAAGACTATTTATAGTGCAGTGTACCTTAAAAAAATAGATGTTCACTTTTGCTTTCCTCAATCAGCTGAGCTGTATCTGCCTGATATATTTCTCCCTTGTTTGCTGCCTACAGGTTCTTAAATTAATTCACCCTAAATCACGTTTCTCTTTGCAGCTTTCCCAATCATCGTGTCTCCTTTAGTTACAGACATTATGTCTTGCTCTAGTCATCTATCAATCCTCTAGACCAGTAACTACTCTTAGAGTATAACATAAAATGTATGACTTTATTTATTAATTGGCCATAGAAACTCACCCTTCAACCCTGTCCTGACTTAAAATGTATAACTTCTACCTCACACGTCATCATAACCTCACTGTCATGAAGAAATCTTGCATTAATGACCCAAATCTCTTTGCCAGACCTGACCTTCTCCAGCTCCTTCATGTCGATTTCTCTAGACCTACAAAAACAGACCCTACTGTCTTTTCTAGTGCTCTTCATCCACTTTTCTAAAGCAAACATCTTGTCTTTAATTTTAAAACCAGCATGTAACTACACTTCACAAACTAGCCTCAAAAAACTGTGTTAAATGTGTATTAATGGCATTCAAGAGCAAAAATTTTAGAAAAAATGATAAAAAGGTGATAATGTGTCTTAAATTGCCCCAAAAAGTAAATCATGCTCATTTTCATAAATGTTTTGTCAAATGTATGGAGGCAGATGAGACTTCTAAAAGAGTGTCATTTTGACCTTCTTCTTAATAAGCCGAATTAATTTTAATTACAGTTCCATAGTAATGACTTTCTTGTTGAATCTTTTCTATTGATAAATATATTTGTTCCCAATCATAAAAAAAATAAAATAAAATGGTAAGGAGAATGATCTGATTACGAAAACTCACTGTTTTCAAATGAAAAAAAGTCTTATATGTTATGTATTTTATTCTATAAGCTGTATGCTATAACTAATGTGTACATCCTACCACAAAATAATTTTAAAAAAAAAGGACTTTTCTAAATACCTTATATCTGTCTTTTTGAGAACAACTCAAGTTTATCAAGTCTAAGTTGGTGGATCTTTTTGGCCTGGCCAGCCAGACTGACTTACAACATAAATCTCTCTTGGTTTCCAGGCTAGGATTTTATGCAACAGACAGAAAACAGTTGTATTTCTTCAAATATAGGGCATTTAAAAAATTCAGGGAGTCTTTGGACGATGTTTCATGGTTACACCTTTTCACGAGCAACACCACCGGCTGGATCCTTGCTGGAAGCTCATGTCCTGTCTCTGCTGGGGTGAAAGTCTGGGACAAAAGTCGCTGCCACTGTGATGGGAGTGGAGTAGGCGAGGGCAAAGTTGTACAGACCAAGCATCAGACATTTCCAGGTGGTTCGGAGTGCCTTTCCCACATTCTACATATAAAAGAGTACAGTAAAACAGTTATATTTCAACAGAGTTAAGTAATTGTAAATGCAAAACCTCTTTAATGAGGTGTAACATGAGCTGTAAGGAAGAGGTTGAAATGATAAAAAGAGAAGACATGTTTTTCAAGGATGTATATCTATTGCTTTGGGGCACAATGGCAGCAGGAAGAACAGGTCATTCTCCTCTTGACTGAACCCTGAATACATAAAGTCCTGAGACCTCCATTGTCTTATGCATCCTGGACAGGAAAGGGCTGAGTGGCTGGAACGAAAACAGGATGAACTGAATATAACTATCTACTGCTAGAACTGACTATGAAAGTGCACATGTAGGTATGCAGTCTCCACTTGGAAGTTATACGTTGTGTAAAAGATACAGTGTGAGCTGATCAAAAGTATCTAGCCTTGCATTTTTGGCAAAGAACATTGAAAAGACAGCTTCTCGTTAACTTCTCAGTATTTAAGCTCTTTTCCCTCTGGTTTGGCATACATTTTCCAGAAATACATCTAAAAATTCTGTATCACTATAACTGGTGAGGTTTTTGACAGAGTAGAATATAATGTTCTGATTCAAGCTCCAAAAATAGCTGCGATTGTCTAGTTTTGTATCTGTCTGGTTCAGATCCTTCTTGCCAAACTGGGATAACTTTATGGGACTTCGTAATTCTAAATGATATTTAAAGGCTCCATTACAGACCAGCTTTCTTCAATACCTAAGTGATACCCCATTATGGAGCATTAAAACCCTTAATTAGATAGTAAAACACATGTGTGTGTATTTTATATATATATATATACATACATATATATATATATATATATATATATATATATATATATATATATATATACACACATTTTTTTTTTAAAGTTTTTGTCTACATTTTCATGTTATTCAATGAATGTATTATTTACTTAAAATAAGTCATCTAATCCTTTATATAATTCAAAGCTCTTTGAAATATTGTATAAATCAACAAGCCTTATTTTCTCATAAGATTATAAGGGCAACATTTGTAAATGAGATTTTACTGGTTTAGTAGATATTTCTATTATTAGATATTACATCAAGTAGATTTTTCTTTATTTTTAACAGAATTAAAAAAATCTGGACAGAGGTGACATTTAATTTGACATGCCTTCACCTTAAAGGAACTTAGAAAATATACATCAACGCACTTTAAAGTTTAATCTCCCTGCATGGGAAAGTGTTTAGCAATAACATTTTAAGTTCACATCTAAACTGCATATATTGTCAACTTTAGCTCAGTTAAATGTTAAACTGAAATCTACCTTTTTTACTTTCTTGTAGTTTTCTTTCTTCTTCCTTTTCTTGTCTTCTTTTGCCTCATCATCCCTCAATGGCTCGTATCTCTCTTGTAGAAAGGTAAAGTTCAGGTCTCTTTTGGCTTTTTCATTTATTGTGCCATCATTGGAGGAAGGCTGATCAACAGAGTCAACATGCCTTTGATACTTCGCTGCACAGCTTTTCGTCCTTTCACCTGACAATGCTGCTGAATCCCTGTCAAACAGTCGGGATGGAAGAGATTTGGGCTTCATGCTTTCTCCTTTTGCAGATTCAGTAGAAGTAAGTGAAGGTACTTCTTTCCTATTGGAGAGCAGCTGTGTTGTCTACTATTATGTGCATGGGGCTGAAATGCATTCCTTTGGTATAGAAAGGGGGGTCGTGGGGGTTGGCACACAGCCCTTAAAGGTGCAAATCCCATCTCCTCACAACCCTGAAAGGGATGCAATCCTACAAAGAAACTAATGCTACTAATGCTAATATTAATGACCAAAGGTTGTGTCAACTCTTTTTTTTAATCCTTCCACAGTATTTCCTTCTAGTGTTTATATATGCTTTCACAATGCCTTGCAGGAATGTTAATTTCCCTTAATCTTCAGGATGCGTTGAACCTGAGAATATTTGTCTCGAGTCTCGACTCAGAATCACAATAGGATTCAGTTTTGGTAACCATCCATCTTCTCCCATTTGACAGGGTCACGGTGCCTATCTCTAGCAGTCTACAGGCGAAGTACACACTGGATGGGTCGCTAGTCTGTCACATGGCAACAGAGAGACACACAACCATGCACATGCACAACATGCAAACTCATGCAGAAAGACCTCGGGCCAGGAATCAAACCCAGAGCCTTCTTGCAAGGCGACAGTGCTACCCCAGCTTTGCTATCTGAGTAAGCCAATTCTTTCAAAACTTTTATCGTAATTTTGTATACACAGCAGTAAACATGGCTAGATGCCAACAAAGAAATAAAAAAAAAATTACACCCAAAACCCATTCCATTGCAGTTCTGCTTATATATACAGGACTTCTTTCTTGCAGAAAAGCAATCTTTCTTCAAAGTGTAGTCTTTTAAAACTTCCACCAGATTTTCTTCCATCATTTGATCGTTTAGATCCACTCAATTTTTCATCATGTGTGACCACTCCATGCTGAAGAGATGGATCCCCATAGTATGACACCGTTGCCACCATGTTTCATCCTAGGTAAAGCATATTCAGAGTAATGTCTGCTATTTTTTCCCCTTTACACACAGAATTTAGCATGTGGGCCCGCAAACATCAGTTTAGGTCTCTTCATGTTCTGAAAAACTTTTGGTTTTTTTTCCTCCTGAGTTGTTAACTTGGGCCACTTAGCTATTCTATACAACCAAACCTAAATTTATATAGAAAGAAAAACAAACACCAAAACACTTTTAAAACAAAGTTTTTTTTTAACTTTATTGTCTTTTAACTGCAACAATAATTAACCTGAGATAAATTATATATCTAGTGGAAAAACAAATGACACATTGTCCCAAAATGGACACATCTGAAGAACCTTTTTGCTGCTACTAATTTTTAAACTAGGATTTTTGGTCTGGTACACAACAGTTACTTTAAAATACATTTTCAACAGAGAACAATTTGTATAAAGTTTGGTTGGCTATTAAATACAAAAATGGCAAAAGAGATTTCCCAGAAATAAACATTGAAATTACAATCGTATTTACATTTTGTTTCAAAAAATTGAACTTAAGGAGACCGTTTAGTGCCTACATTTTATTTACAGATCAATGTAGCTCTTTTATAAACTGAAGACAAACTTTTACAAAACCTAACATGCCTCATGAGAACGGAGGTCAACTTTGTGAGTGCAGGATTACTTGTCCTAGTCCTGACTTCTTTGTGCGTTGTTTTGGCCTCGATCAGGATCCTTCAGACGGAGGATACGGATGGTTTCGCTTACTGGAAGAGAACTGAGCAGAAAACGCAAAAAATGATGTGATTTTATGTCAGTGTTTTAAAGAACTAATCTCTCTGCAGTATTTCCCACTAGCTTCACTAAAATCTCACTCCTTAAATGGTTTGCTGGTTACCTCATGTTCTGGGGGGTGAGGAAGATGAACTGTCTGAAGCGCTGGCTGGCAGCTACCTTCAGCATCATGTCCATCGATATTCTCCTGTTTACCATGTCCTAAAAGAGAATGAGAGGAAAAAAAAACTTTTTACTGATCGCTCTATGTCACTAAATTTGGATAAAAGATAAACTGGCTAACACCTTAGAGGAGCCTACCTTTGAACTTAAATTTTTTTTATTGTTTGAAAAGTGTTCGCTAAAGCTATGATCATAAAAATAAATATTCTCCCATGTTAAAATGAGAAAAAAGTTCTCAATATTATCTTGTACAAAGAAATGCAAAGGGGGCATGTCTTATTTCTAAGATGGATTAAATGGAAGTCTATACAAGTTTGATCCTTTATAAAAAAATTGCCAAACATTTGTCTTTATGTTCCATTTCATGATACAAGCCTTCTTGACTTAGGTGCTACAGTTGCTGTACATCACAGGTCTTCAGAGAACTGCTTCAACGGCTACGGTAAATTGAAGCTAAATTATGGGTTCCCTAACCGGAACTTAAAAATTTTTCTTCAACAGGAACCCCCTGCGATAAATTATAAACTGGTGTAATGTGATCAATTTTCCTGGTGTTTCATTAGGTCTGGGCCTGTGAATAATCCAGTGTTTTACTATTTCTGCAGTCTTTAACCTTATTGAGCCTTATATTTTTGAGAGAAACAAAACAAAACCATTTTTAAATTTTACTTTGGATGTTGTCTAAAAGATATGCATGCTAAGGGATAGTGAAGTGGCTCGAGAGCAGAGCCTTGGGGAACCCCAACATCTGTTCGATCAGATCTAATATCCAAATGTAAATGTAATCAAACATAGTTTATGCTGATTTTCTCCTACCAACTAATGTCAATTAGAGAAACCACATACAAACCTAAACAAACACTAAATGTAAAGAAAATTATATCATTACCATGTAAACATCAAACTCATCCAGACAGCGAAAAGGGGACTCTGTGATGGCCCAGAGAGAGAGGACAAAGCAAACAGTAGAGAAGGAACGCTCTCCTCCAGACAGAGAACGCATGTCACTCAAACCATCTTCGGTTCCTTGGCCTGGCTGCACCTAAAAATTAGTTTACATGTCATCCATGTTATTATTTCTCACTAAATCCCTTCTCTGTCAATTCTGCCAACATATAACTTAAACACAAGTGTTAAAAAGATATTTTCAGGAAATTTAAATGTAGAGATGCACCGATCAAGTAGACCTGTGTACACAGTCACTGTCAGGCGTCTCCAATCGGACTTAAGTCTAAACTATCTTGGCCACTTCAGGACGTCACAGAGTGGTTAGCTTTCATTTTTAAAAAGGACGTTTTTTTAAAGCAGGTATTAAGCAATACTGAAGCAAGTCAAGTAGGCAAATAAATGAAACCTGCTTACCGAGATGGTCAAGGTCTCATTCTTATGGTCAAAGGTCATACTTCCAGTGTAGCCTCTCTGAGCCAGCATACAGTTAAAGTAGTATTTACAACGAGCTGAGAGAAATCTAATGCAGAAAAAATGAGAAGCTTTTAGTCGAATAGTGGGAGCCTTTTAAAGAAAAAGTACAATTTAATCAAGTCTCCACATGTTTTTATTAGCAGTAAAGAAAATGCATTTTGTCTAAGATTCACTTCTTACTTTCTGATATCAGCATAAACCTGAAGTCTGAAGTTCATGTCCTTATCCAGGGTTTGGATGAATCTGTTGAGGCATTTCATTTGTTGAGACATGGTTTTGTAGTTCTCTGAAGCCTCATGGAATTCCCTAGACAAAAGAAATAAGAGAAACCTAAATTACTAAATAAAACTAATTAATATAAGAGTTGGCAGCGCTCAATTACGTCGAGGAAATATAAAGAAAAGTGCATGGTTATAGCTTTTTAAGTATAAAAAGGGGAAAAAAGTAATGCACTTACCTTACAATCTCCTCAGTGTCCCCTTGTTGTTTCTGCTGAGTTGTGATCTTGACTTTGAGTCTGTTTATTTCACTGTCAATACTTCTTGCAGTTCGACAGACTTCTAGACGCTCTGGACAAATCTCAGAAGCCTTAGCGATGGACGCCTGAGTTAAAATTGGACAAACATTAGGAAAGAGGGAGATGTAGTGTATGGAGTGTTGGTAAGACATCCAGATACAGAGTAAAAAGGAAGCTGCATCATGAAAAGGAGAAAAGGAGAGTTCAGACATTTTATTTTGCTAAACTTCAACATGAAAATTTATAATTCAGTTTAAATTTTATAATTTGTTAATTTTTAATAGCGCATTAATTTATTTGTATCAATTAATTACAGCTTTTAGAAGACATTGTCATGGCTACCAAAGGGGTGAACCACAAGAAACCAGAGGGATTTAAATAGTGTGGTTAAAATTATCATCATTAACACAAACAAATGGCCCATTTCTTTTATGGTTTAAACCACTGAAAACAACTGCAAATAAAGACTGTACAGCAGTATGTACACCTCTGGTTTACAGTGATATGCAATAGCAGTCCTATTGGATGTAAAACCTGCCAACGCTAGAGACCTCTGAAGTACTGTTGGGTTCTTTATTTCTCTTTTTACTACAAGAACTATAATATTTTAGCTTCAGTAAAAGAAGAGAACACAGTAAATGAAATGCAGTGTAGTCATACTAAAGTATATTCTGGGAAGTTTATATTAGCAAAGAAAGGTGGTGTAACAATTTTCAGTTGCATCTAAAAGCAAGGTCCTATGGAAATTCAGTGACCTTGGATAATTTAAAGCAATAAAGAAAATCTGGGGATAAACAATGAAAGGTAATAAATCCTTCCATGTCTAATATTAAAAAAACATTTTATTTTGCTCTAAACCATCTAGAAATGATTTTGCAGCTGGATGCTGACAATCAAGACGCTAAACCATCATTCTGACATACCGCAAGGTTCTCCTCTTTGCTCTTGAGTTGAGCTTCGAGAGCCTGAATGTTTTGGAGATGGGCGCTGCGTTTGTCATCATAGTGTTTCTTGTGATGTCTGCACTTCATCACCTCCTGGTCAATTTTGCTCAGCTCTTCCTGCAGCACAAGAAGCACAGTAAATGGAGTGTTTGACATGACATTTAAAGCTGATGTTAAATATATTGGTAACATTATTTAGAACATCTTGCACAATTTAATCTCCCCCTTATGCAGATCCTAACCACTGAGAGGGAAGTAAAAGCAATAAGTACATTTAGATTTACCAACAACAAACTTTGCATAAAGTATATGAAAGTACTT